TCGTAACAACCAATGTGAGTGTGACGTCATTCCATACCTATTTTTATTTTTTGACAATATGTTAAACGTTGCCAAATAGTGTTTTGTATTTTCTATCCTTTTCCTTCAAAAGGCTGCAAATTACAATAGTTTTGCTGCACTTCTTGCTCTAGCAATTAATACAAATCGTCGATATTAGTCATTGACTTACATTTTATTAATTTCTAGGTTTTTTAGTATTTCTGCAGTTTGCGTAGTGCAGCTGGTGTACCTAGTTTTCAGCTGTAACGTTAGTTGGTGCCACAGATACTCATTCCATAACAAGTGATGAAATAAATATTCTTTCACTAGTGATGGAATGAAGCGATTCCGTAATCAAAAACTAAGTCGGAATGGACGAATTTTTCAATAGTCGTAGGAAAAATGTTTTTGTTCCTTTTCTGTGTTTTTCTTTTCCGAAAGTATGCTACCCTTTCCTTGTTCAACAAATTGTACATCTCTGGATACAAATACCAAGTTTTTTGTGACTCATAAAGCCTGTATGCCTTCGACTCGAAACTATACCCAACAAAGATACTAGGAATTGCTTTCAGATCCATTCTCTTTCTGTTTTGGCTCGGAATATATCCAAAAATTCTTACATGAGCAACACTTGTTTTTGTTCCAGTCCTCCAGTCCAGATTTCATACGGTGTCTTTTTGACACATTGACTAGGAATTCTATTGAGTAAGTACACAGATGTATTTACTGCCTCTGCCCAAAAAATATGTGGTAAACCAGCCTCTACCAGAAGACAACGAGTTTTTTTCTAGAATTGAACGATTGAACCTCTCGGCTTTATCATTCTATTCAGAAGGAACTGTAAGCTGATGTTGTATTCCACCATTTTCTAAAATTTGAGAAAGCTCAACATTACAGTATTCTTTCCCGCATTATCGATACGGAGTATTTTTATTTTTCGCCCTGATTGATTTTCTGCAAAATTCTGAAATTTCTTCAAACATTCTGTGACTTGACTTTTATTTTTGAAAAAATAAACAAAAATATAGTGAGTATAATCATCCTGAAGCGTAAATATGTACCTCGAGCCAGAAAGTGAATCCACTTGCATTGATCCACATAGATCAGATTCACTGTATTATTCACATGTCCTAGCCGGCGGTACCACAAATTGCATTTTTTCTCACTTGTTTCTGACAATAAGGCTGCTTGTTGTGAACTGACATCCAATTTAAACAAATTCTCTTATTCTTATTTTTATTTTGATCAAAATTTGATGCAAAATGACCATACTTTTTGCAACATCTGGGACTTTCAAAACCTTGGCCCTTTTTCTGATTATTCCCTGAAGACTTATTTCCTTTAGAATAACATCTTGCAGGAGTTTTGTTTTTATTGAGTCACCTGTTACTGCAATGCCCGAGCTCTCTATTCTCATGATCAGGCTCATAGGACTCCGGTAAACCAGCAAGTAAAATTGTGCCTACCCATTCATCATTGACCTGCATTCCAACAGATGATAATTTGTTTGGCTGTAGTTATGAGCGTGTTTACATTTTTTTTACAGAACTGCAACTTTCCAAAGTTGTTGTTATAAGAATACGCAAAAGTCCTACACGATGCGTTAATCCCGAATCTTCAAAAAGCCTTTTTAAGATTTTCCCAAGCTTCTTTTGTTGTTTTGAATGACTGCACATGAACATAGTGCACCGGGTCAACCAAAAGTATTATTTTTGAACGGGCTTCTTTCTCTGAACCTTCAACTGCACTCCATAATTCTTCGTATTCAAAATAAGTCTGTACCGCGAATACTCACGTATCGTAATTATCACGTCTTTTAAGGCGTTCGATCGACGAGAGCTGATTCATGGCTACAAAATTGTCCAAGAACAAAGTTCCGAGGGTCTCGCGAATGACTAAATGACACCTGGGTCCATAACCTGATGTAATTTAACAGAAATGAAGCTTTAGAAATTAATTAAGCCCCAACTAATAAGAAACTTTAATTGATACACACGAGGCAAACGCCAAAAATAACATCGTGACAACTATCGTACTGTGCAACTATCAACTATTATGATAACTTAATGACAACTGTCTTTCAAAAACTAGTTAAAGCAATCAGCGTCCAAAATCTCAAATCAGGCACTCAAAAAAGTCTAAAGACTTTATGAACGGAGGGTGTCTCATTCCAAATTATTTTCTGGTCCGATAACTTTGTGGAAATGTAAACGGATCAAATGGTGGTAACCATTCAAAGTCATATGCGACCCAAGCAGCGGAGGAAACGCCTCACGTAATAAGAAGACGCCTGGTCTGGTATGGTTTAGAGACTCCAAAACAGCGGATGGAGCTGGCGCTGGCGTATACACCGTGATTGACGTAGTCCGTACATTAAAATTCAATTGGATTGCAGGTGGATTAGTAAAGATTGCATCTAAACCACCTGCAAGCTAATGAACGGACTACGTAAATCAACCTGTATAGAAAAAGACCAACATCAGAACAAAGCATCCCTCTGAGGCTTAACGCCACAGTTCACCAAGCAGAAATTCATGCAATCCCAGCATGCGCACAAGAGATTCTAAGGCTGGGTTATAACAACCAGAACATAAGCATTCTCTCAGACAGTCAGGCTGGTCTAAGATCTCTGAGCTTATATCCATTTACTTCGAAAATAACGATGGAATGCCTAGACGACCTGGAAGCTCTATCGTCAAGGAATAACAGGATAACTCCTGTTAGGGATGTGCGATGTTCATCGATTATTAAAAAACATCGATGTTCAATACCCGATGTTTCGACATCGATGATAAAATTCTAAAACATCGATGTTATCATCGATGTTGGGTTTAAAAATCGACAATAAGAAAAGGTTAAAGATAATTTACTTGCACCAGTTCTGCAAATGGAAATCGCTATAATATGCAGCTTTCATAGCACTAGATCTGTATAAATAAATCGCTACAAGCAAGGTCCTATTTTATATTTGAATTTCCATCCTCTACAAACGCATGACGGTGAAATAAGACAGATATATTAAATCGTTTACCGCACTAGCACCAGTAGCACCAGCAATATAAAACCAAAAAGTTGAATAAAGATACGGGTCCTTATTCTTGAAACAGGGGAGCAACGTTAGGAGAACGAGTGTTCTGTCTTTCTCAATGATATGCAAATGATAATAAAATATAATTAATTCTTCTAGGAACGCTGCACCCCTGTTTCAAGAATGAGGACCCTGAACATACTATTTTGTGTAGATTGTAGGAAACGGAAAATGTGTTGTGATTGTTATTATTAACAACAATAATTTTTTTTCCCATTTTGTTATTAAAAGTTCTGTAATAATAGAAATTTTCCATGTTTACTTTTTATGTTACCCTCAAAACATCGATGTTTGTAAAATATCGATGTTTTCACTTCGATACATCGGTTGCATCGATGTTGAAGTATCGATGTTACCATCGATGTTCAACATCGATATCTGTGCTTGATGTCGCATCCCTAACTCCTGTGAGCTCCTGGGCATTTGGGGATAGAAGGCAACGAAAAAACTGACAAACTGGTCAGAGCGGGCGCAGCTGCACCCTTCACAAGACCAGAACCCGCATTAGGGATATCGAAGCAGGTTATAAAGACGGCAGTTGAAAGTTGGTCGACCCATTTGGCGGTCTACACCTGGAGCAAAACACTCGAAGGGGATAATTGGAAACCCCTCAAAGATGCTAACAGCTGAAGTACTCTCACTAACGCGTACTCAGATAAGACGGGTGGTAGGACTACCAATAGGACACTGCCATCTTAAAGCGCACATGCAGAAAATATGAGAGACTATAATGACCCAACGACGTGTAGACTGTGTGGTGAAGAGGAGGAAACCGCCTTGCACATAATATACGACTGCGAAGCAGAAGACACAAGACTGCTGCATGAGAAACTTGCCAGAAAGCTGCTAGATCTGATCAAAGGGACGGAATTTCCTTAAGCAAGACTTATGTGTAGCAACGCCTAACCCCACCTTAAACCAATCAACAAACTTGTATGTAATTTTTCAGTTCTAATACCAGAATTGAGGCTTGATACACTATTACCAAAATAAAAATAATTGATAATAATAATAGTATTGATTCAAATTATTATGTAATCTATCTCTGAAATTACTGAGGCACGAATTTGATTTGTTTCATCATTACAATGGATTTCATATTCAAAAATATTTAGAGTGAATTTCCAACCAAAGTGCTGAAACCAACTTCATCCAAAATAAATTCTGGATTTATATACATATACAGGTTAGCCATAAGCCACAAATTCACGAATTAGAATCGAAAAGGTGAAGTAAACGTATTCAATAGAGCATATTACCAGTCCTCGTTCCACATTTCCGATCGTAATAAAGCCGATGTTCATAATTTATACTCTTGGCTAGAGCCGAGGCTGCTAGGAATATATAGGCAAAACAGGATGAAGAGGAAGGGAAGCTTATTATTATTTAATTCGATCAGAGAACAGTAGTGGAAATTAGATTTAGAGACTTTAGTTAGAATATTGATTTAACGATGGCGGGTATTAATTTGTTGAGGTAACCATGTTTTAATACGAGAAACATACAAAAGGAATGACCATATACGCGCAAAGTTTATGTCGGTTAGTTTTCCAAAAATTATAAAACCTTATTATAAATGAAATTACGAAAAACAGTATTTTTCCAAATTAAAGTAACCAAAAGGATATTGTCCAATCTCGATCGTCTGACAGTATCTATCATATTTTAAATCGATCTAGCTCTTTTTGAGGCGCCATCACTCCGCTGTTTTCGTCCGATATGCAAATCTGGAAGGGTCAATAGACAATTTCCCGACCTTTTTCCAGATAATAGCAACTCGGGACGCTTCCGATTTCCTCTGACCCTGTTTTAATGCGAAAACTTCGATATCAGGCAAATAAATTTGCCATCAAATCAGTTTCAATTGGCAAAAGCTTCCCATTTTGTTTAAATAATACTTTGAATCACTTACCTCACACTCTGTTTCAAGTTACACCCGACTGCAGCAATATCAAACTTGTAGTTCTTTCGTTTCTCGCAGTTGAGGCTCCTCCGAGCTCTGAGCTCAGCATGTCCATCTTCTCTGAGCTCAATTTCGAACGGAGCTTCTCCGTGGTGTTTGTTAACGATACGAAACCGACATACTTCAGACCCAGTTGCCCTTATTGGAGGCGTCACCTCCACAACCGTTTCATTTTCTTTCACTATACCATGGTAGCCATTCTCCAGGTTTGAGATATCCAAACGTGGAGCGTCATCTACAAAAAAGAAAAGATAATGTTAATAAATCTGTTAAACTCACAAATGTCGGCCAAAAGTTCTGATAACAGATTAATGCAGTTTTAAGTATTTACATTTGATTCAAGAATTGGTATTGAATCACAGTTTTTTAATTATTTTGGTATAGTATTTGTTGATTGGTGGATTTGGATCTATGAAGCAAATCCTTATTAATTCTTACGTAATAATCTTTTCCAATTTCAAATCCAACCGTAGACATGCCGCCTTAAGCACGTTCCAAGCAAAATTATGCAACAGGGTTAATCCAAAACAAGCTTGATAAATCGGCAAGGAAATCTAATTAACCTAGAAACGCGAGCAAATTTTTCTTATTACTGCAAGAAGTTTCTAGAAAGGAAATGTTCATGACGTAACAAGAAACTTTACCCACCTAAATAAGCCGCTCCAGGTAGCACAAAAGGCGATTTCTCGAGGACCATTTATCACGCTGCCTTTGCAACCAAACAAAAACAAACTGGGGAAAAAGTATCCGCATTCAAAGCGGACTCTCTGAATTCAATGGAAGTGGATTTCGGTTAGTTTTGGTTAAATTATGTTTCGAGAATGAACAATGGATGAATTTGCTTGGACGAACAAGAATCTCACTCTGCTTATCATAAGTGTCAATGTTTAGACATTTGAACAATGGACTAGTTTATAAGATCGATTAATCATGACTTCCTTCTGCTTACTGAATGACTTATACCAAAGCAATGGGAAGAGTCATATTTCCAGTTTTCTTTAGCACACAAGGGACCTAAAGCACACACAAATTTTCCCAAAAGTAAACATCCCTTTGTTCCCCTCTATTAGTAAACCTAACAAACCTTTCGAGCGAAACCTATAGGGACTAAATATAGACCCAAAAGGTTCGATTGATCAATGTATGATTTAGGTTACATTTTTCCCTAGAATAAATTCCCTTTTCGTCGTTTTCAACTTTAACTAATTCCCCTTTTAGAATCTAAAAGCGTTAATTATCATCCCTCCTAATCCACTCGATCCAGATTATCACTAATCCCGATATGTAGCCTTTGCGAACTTCCTAATGTCGTTATAATTTCATAGTTACCCCTGCAGCGTAGTTAATTTGGAGAGAGAAATGGATAAAATTCCTTACGTGTACCCGATGCATTCGGACCATTTCTGATAAGCTAATGAACGGAGTTATGCTAAACGTTTATGCAGAGAATCAATCAGATATTTGGAAAACAATTTCTCGTAATTAGCTAGGAATCCGTTGCCTGATTTAACAAAATAATTCTAAACATGTTTGCCTTCGAAGCTAGAAAACAAATTATTCTAATGGGGGTGCCTTACTTGAAAAGTTTTTTCGTAGGGATTCTAATATACTCACAGAAGCAAAAGCCCCACAGGAGTATTAGATTAAAAGGCAAAGCAACTGCATCCCTTTCCCACATTGTGGTTTCAATTACCGAGCGAGCTTCCTGCCATACCAAAACACAAACATATTAATAATATATGTTGCACTAATGGCTTTAATGCCTGAGGCGTTTAAACTAATTATTGAGATAAATTTTTCCATTACTAAAGGGCTAATTAGGCCCCGTCTTCAACCCTTGGTAGTTGATACGCGGGCTTGACCTCGTCAAATATTCATTTGTTGACGGAACGACATTCCTCTCGACGCTGAAAGCTCATTTATTAACGACGCCCTCGATGGTTAAATATTTGTAATGGACGCACACACGCGTGTAATCAGTATAATGAGTGAAAAGGGGGATTTTATTCGGCCTTTAAAAACGATTGGTCAACTAAACGAGTGTCGTACCTAAAAGAATTGTGGAAAATATGGGAATTGAAGTGTGTAATGTGATAGTTTAGGTTACAGTTGTTGTGTACAGAGTGACGTACTTCATTTTTACTGTAATTTTGTTTTTAAGTAGCCATGCTGAAGTAGTCAGGAATACTTAATGATTTTGTATTCTGCCAAAGGCCTGGTAATTATGCAGCAATAATAGGCTTAAATGTATACAAGTAGTCCCTCAGAGGACTGAAGGCACACAAGATAATGGAATAATGCTAGTAGTGTCCTTTGGTAATGGCTCTGCGTTAAATTTTCCGGGTATAATTAGAAAAATATATGTTAGGACCAATAATTTATGTTGTGGTTGGGTATATGATTATTTGATGATTGGCTGAGTTGGTATTGGTGCAAACGAATCTGCAAATTTAGATACTGTTATCGTATTCTGTTTTGAATGAAAATTTGGATTAAGTTGCCATCTTGGTTTTGGTCGTCCATTAATTGGAGATACAAAGACATTATCAGGAATTCTTGATTGATGTCTTATGCATTTGTTTTATCCATAAGCTATTCAAATTCCACCAAAAGCTTAACCTTCGAAAAAGTGGTTCTTTTGTTTAACTTGTTGTAAAGCGGCTGACTTTCGGGGGTCATTTAAAAGTGTCAGCTTAGCGCCGCTACGCTCATCTGGATGAGAGAAAACTTTTAACTTCTGCATAATTCACGACGAGGCAAAACAAAATTAGAATTGTTAAATGAACAGGGATTATTTTTTTTCGATGCTATCCAACTAAAAGCAAGGATTTTCACCTTTAAAACGTTGACATTTTTTTTTAATCATAGACAGCGCTTGACCTTTTCTTTTCTTTTTTTTAGGAAGGAGTGTACCTGCTGTTTCTCTGGCCTCATTTTGAAACTTTGCCAACTCATCGATTGCCTCTAGCTCGACATTGTCTGAAGGTTAAAAACGTGACCAAAAAAAAAAAACTTGAGAAATCGGCACCAAAGAAAAAATACATTAAAAACCACTCAACTAATAAAGTTGTAAGTTTCAACGTTAACTCAATTTGAGGAAGCCTTGTGGAGTTTGTCTTTAGCGAAAACGGCGAGTTTTCTCTTTGAGATAACTGTGAAGGTGGTTTTAAAAGAGAATAGAAAGCATAAGGAAGGGAGAAAGCAATTAATTTTGATATTGTTCACGTTCTTGACATAATAGCAGCTTCCTATGGTTTTGTTGCCGAGGCCGGTAATGAATCAGGATTAATGGCGAGATAAGGACTTGATAGGAGAATTTTCACGTTTACACTCCGACTTTATACCAAAAGAAAGTGTGTGTGAAATGTGCTTTCAAAACTTGAGCCATAAGCAAACGACTTGATAATGTCTCTATAAACATAAATATTTCTATATTAACCCAAATAGTATAAGCCAAGCTCCCCATTAATTTTAATATTTGGCCCTCGTTCGTGACATACAAATGGTGTTTGGGATAGTTTCCTGGGGATATCGTTATCTCTCGCGCGAAGGAAAAAATGTAAGAAAGGCATTTCCAACATCCGCATCTGGAAACGTGCCAGAAAATCCTCTCGCGTAAAGGCGCTGCTAGGGATCTAATTGGGGGAAATAAGTTTCACGCCAGCCTGACAGTATATAGTAAATATGAACACGTGCCTAGATAATTGAACTTTTTTTAAAAAAAAAAGCTTTGATGTTTGTAGTTGAAACGAGAGATGAAACGTGTCCATTTTATTCAACTTTACGACTCTAAATTCAATTTGAAAAGTGCTGTATATTTAAAAATTGTTGGATAGAAGTGAAGCAAACCTAACCACGGGAATCTCAAAAACAAACCTACGTTTGCACTTTTCTAATATCCAGGATCTTGGTTGAAAGTTCCATCGCTGTTTGAAAACTTCTACAATCAAACATTGGAAAGTAGAAACTATGAATCTGGAGTGGATCGAAAAATCCCTTCGAATGTTACCAAATTATATACCACTTTTTTCCACTGGATAACATTCAGGTCTATGATGGATCCTCTCCTGTTATTTTAACAGCTGTGTTATAGCTCAAACAACCTGTCTCTATTTTAACGTATACAATAAAAAGTAAGCTTTTAAATTAACAGAACATACATTTATAGGTTTGATTATCATTTAATTAATCTCAACACGAAGTGTATCTTCTTGACAGTGAGACAAATTTTGATTAGAATATTTTTCTAAATCATATAAATTATATTATCATTAAATCCCTGTACAGTCCTGGAGTTCAGGCAGGATGGAGTATGAGAACTACCAGTTTTATCCGTCCGTCTGTTCTCATAATTCCAATGTATGATGTCTTCATGAAAGAGCCTTTTTCGTGTGAACTAGCCCATTATTGTCAAACCATGACAGGAACGACGTTGGTTTTCCTTGATTTTTGACATGGAGATCACTATTTTGAAGCAATCGCTGTTTTCCTATTGTGAAAACGACTTTAAAATGCCTTTTTTGATTATCTTGATGGGAACTATGTACTTGACAATCCCTTTTGGAGCTAGTTATAAGCTCTGGTTATTTGTTATCCTTCACTAAGTATATAGTAGCTGGTAGAACTCAAGGCACAATAGGTATTTTCTTTCTGTTAGTTGCATTTCTTCCTTCTTTGTTCCTCATCTTAAATATTCATTTTATTCAGTCTGCGAATTTCTTCGAACTACTTACATGCTTTTGTTGTACACAATGCTCTTTTTGATTTGATTTAACTTGACGAATCTGACGTAATTTTGTATTGCTTTGGATATTTGTTCCCCCATCTTCCTTATCCCTTCAACTGTAGCAGCTTCTTCGGTTCTTTTTTTTTCATAAGCACCGCGGTCTTCACGTCTTCTTTCGAGTTACGTCATTCCAGTTACACGATGACGTTGAGTGTTTATATTTTTGTCTCTGCAGCTCATTGATATCGCATTTAGCTCTATATTTTGGATATCCGGCTAACTGATTTGCAACAGATAGTAGCAGCAGGTACAATTAACCAGGTTAGTCCTGAGTACTGGTTGTGGTTAGATGGTCAAACCAATCTTAAGGTTCAAATTGACGTTCCGGAAGGATTGTGTTAGCGTCCAACTAGAAGGCTTAGGCTGGGGTGTGATAGCCTTACAGTTACAATCTCGGTTCTAATTGAATGTGTATTGTGGTGTCACAATGTAACCGTGAGTCAGGCGCG